AAGAACATTGCGTCTGCTTATTGCAGGCCAGATGAATTGGGACCAGTTGGCTTCAGATTGCTGCACCGGGCGGCCCGTGAAGAAGAATGCAACCTTGATTGCAAAGCTGGTCGAATTCTTTTCACGAAGGCCTTGCTGTTTGCATGCATCCAGGAAACTTCGAAAGTACCTTGTAGGAACTATGGAGCCAACACGCTACAGTCTAGGCGCGCAATCCTCATGGCTGCACTTTGCAAAGTTGACGCTTTCAGCTTTCTTCTCGGGGGGGCGTCGGCATTCCCCAAGATCCACGGAAACCATCTCCAATGCTTAGAGGCCCACATTTAAACTCAACCTCGCTCATCCCTGTGGGATCTGAAGATTCTATTTTGAGGCACTGTCCTGCTAGATGATTCATTGCATACAATCAAGTTAGAAGCGGTAGATCAAAAATGGTTGAACCAATATACATTTTCTGTTCAGCTGATATCCATTGACCTTTTCAAAGCCCTTAGGATGGAGCCTCCACAACGTACCTTTCTGTATAAACATAGACCTGAGAAGGGAGGGACGAAAGCCAGCCCTTCAAGCAGACCGCAAACACAGTCTTTCGAGTATTATATTTACAGTCGCTTGCGGAAGGCCCTGAACGCGTAGCCATTTGGAGAAGGCTGTTTGGAAAGTGAGGAAGTACCTGGCTTTGCTGGGATAGAAAGTGCTGTTCATGTTGGCTGCGAGAAAGATGTGTAGGTGTGGAGGTAGTTGCAACTGGTCAAGGGTGAGAATGTAGTGGTCATTGATGGTGGAGGTGGCTGGATCAAGAAGCAGTGCGCGGAGGTGAGCACAGGCACAGGGTAGATCGTTGGCCTGTGGCGGAGTGTGGAGGGTTTCCTCCAGGTGCGGTGGTTGTGGAGTTGTGCTCGCAGTGTCTTGTGTGCTGCTTCGCGTAGGCGGTGTGTGGGAAGGTGTAGTGGGATGGCTAAATGCTTATGTTGTTGGATGGTGGTCTGCAACCACTGCTGGCAGTGCTTGGTGAAGTCTGGATGAGCCAGAAAAGGCGCGGTGAGAGGAAGGTTGGGTTTTGGAGGGGTCAAGTTCCGGTAGTGGAGTGCTTTGTTGATAATGTGCAAGGCGCGGGTGCGACCTGGTTCTTCAAGGTTGGCTGCCATACGTCGAATGGCGTAGACTTCAAGGTCAGTGTGACGGCCACTGCGGAGCTGTTTGGCTGCTTCGAAGGAGGCAAGCGTGTGTTTTGTGAGGTTGCGAAGGAGAGTGAGGGCATGGTGCTTGGTGGAGGTGAAAAGGTACGGTTCACGGAGGGTCTGTTGCCTTCTGCGAAGCTTGCGGAAGAGACGTTTGTGGGTGGCAAGTCGGGAGTAGAAGTGCGCTCGATGTTTGGTGAACTGCCAGCCTTCGGCTTTGAGCTTGAGGTGTTGGGAAATGAAAGGCCAGTTGAGAGGTGGCATCCAGTTGGAAATGTAGTGATGTTCCTGGATCCAGGCTTGATCGTAGTTGTCATGGGAGGAAAGCTGGATGGGGGTGAAGTGGCGCATATTGTTATAGGAGTGCCAGTAGCGTAAGGAGAGTTCAGCGGAAACAGGTATGTTGTTTTGTAGTTGCTTCATTTTGGCTCGCCGGTTGTGTTCCCGATGGGGGATGCCGATGCTGGTGGAGCCGACATAGAAGTGGCCGAAGTGGCCGTGCTGGTGGTAGCATCGGTGAGGTGTAAGGGTGTTGAAGTACAGTTTGATGTAAACGGAGTTGGGTGAGAGGAAGTGGTGGTAGTGGTATGTATGAGGTAGTACCCGGAGATGTTGCAGTCGTTGACGCCATTGTTGGGATCGTTGTGTGGATGAGGGGTAGCAAAACAGTAGAGTGAGGTGGATGAGGCCCACGGCAAAAATGGCCTCGGTGCGTTCGATGTATTGGCTGTAGTGGATGAGAATGGAAAGGGGACCCAGCTACATCCTAGAAGTAGTAAAGACATTGTATGGCATACCGTCCCTGTGTGCTGAAGGGTCTCAACCGATACCTGCGCGAGGCAGCTTCGCAGAACTGCTAGAAGAGGGGTGAGCAGTAGGCTGCCTTTGCACTAAAGCATCATGGCATCATGCTGTATATTTAAGGAATGAACTTCGCGCACAGAGGGTTTGCAAGTCAGTCGTCGCTTTGGTGCGATCGATTGTTGCGGCGCAGGCCATTTAAGAGTCTAACCCATTCGGGTGTAGGACTACGTGTCGGTCTGAGCTGCACATAGTTCTTGGAAGGTTTTTGTGCCTGTTAGCCCCATAACCATGACCTTTTGCGTGAAGTGCACCAGAGCTTCCCGAGTTTGTCGGGGTGCCGAGTGTCTTTACCTAAGAGGCGATTCCAAACCAATGTATGTCGACCTTTGTTAAATTATTGAATTGATTTCACCGCCACCGCCGCTCAGCGGCATCAAGTCGAGAATTGGCAGTGATACGTCCGGGGTGTCTTAGCCAAAATTCCTTAGGACGCTTAGCTTCGAGGCAGGGTGTTTTAAGATTTTCAGACGAAGGTGCTTAACACACTTGGTCTGAAGCCCACACTTAACACAAACACCCCCTTCTCCGCTAGAGATAGGTTTTATGATGGCACTCCTTTGCTGGTGCGCTTTTTCTTCCCCAAATCCGTGACAAAATGATTGAAGGGGCACCACCACTGGACCACACATGCCCTTCAAACAGACGGCAGACGTAGTCTTTCAACGTATTTTGTCCACAGCTACTTGGGGAGATCCCAGAAGATCTTCCTCAAAGCCAGGCCCAGGCAGTGGTACGCCCAAGGAAGTTGGAGGTGAGACTCGCCCTTTGTACACGAGCGCGGGATTCAACGAAGCAGAATGTGGGCAGTCCCGACCCATCAGCCATAATTATTCCCCAACTCATATACCCCATGACCAGCAACAGTGGTTAGTAAAGGCCTTGTGTAAAGGCATAACATAGACTATACCATATCGAGCCACAATGTGAAAGTTTGCATATCTCTGCCTTCTGCTTGCCAGTGGCAAAAAAAGGCATAAACACAAGCCACGGATGCCCAAACTCAGCCCTTTTCGTTGAGTCCGTTAGTCGATGCGTTTCGGCACACATCTCTTGGACCACGTGCAGCGGCAACACGCCTGCTTGCAGGCTGCTGTCTTTGCAGCTGACCCCGTCCATGTTTGCTGAGGAAGAAGCATGCACACAACCAGACCGACTGCCTTGGTGATGCTAATGATGCGGTATAACTTTTTTGGCGCCACTCGCATCACCAAGGCCCTTAACAACCTTACGTGTCGACTACATCAGGCACACCAATTGTTTCGCTCTCCCCCACCAGGCTCTGGGTTCACCCTGCCCGCTAGGTCCCACCTCGCAACTACCCTCCCACACACAGCCTAATTCTCACTTCGTTCGCCCATCAAGCACTCCA